ATTACAGACGTGATATTAATAGGGAGTTCGATTGAAGCAAGATCTCAAGCCGAATCTTTAGCGCTTTCGAATTTCTGAAATTAAGCCTTTCGAAAGTATTAAGTCTTTCAAATCTCGAAACACAGCCTTTCAATAATTCCCACAAATACCAAAACTTCACGACCATACATTAAAGAATGAGCTCTTCACGATCTCGATCTGCAGGAGCTAACCCAAGACTTCTGTATCCGATATTAATATCGACAATTCCACAATTCCATATTAATATTAATATCAACAATTCCACAGCCCCATATCGGTAATTTCCACTAATCAACAGTTCCTCTCAAATCCATCCTAATTATTCCACGAAAAAAAAAATCGGTCTCACAACTTACAAAATCATCATCAAAAAAAAATTCATGAAACCTGCTTCAAGTGAAATAAAAAAAAAATCAAATTATGACACACGTCTATTCATTTATATCAACACCTTTCTATATAATCTGACTAATTTGGGTAATCTGTGAAAGTAATGGTGGAGTAATTTTTGGATGAATTACGGATGATTCAGGACGAAGTAATTAAGCTGCAGGAATCGGCCGATTACACTAAGCAGATATGAAACAATGCGAGAATATCAATAGCGATTAGAATCGTAGTATTTTCATTTGCGCACGTCGTAAATCTATATAAGCACCACCTTTCCTTTGCGGCAACTGAAAGGTGAGGTGTACGTTATATACGTACAGTAGAAGGTATGGGTACTTGAAGGTGAGCCGGCATCCCGGGCAATGCCCTCTCGTATAAACAATCAATCGTTACGATCTTTGTGCCTATTCCGTCAACAATATTCAATGAACAATTACAACAGATTAAAAAAAAGACACAAATGAAATTATTAACAAACCGATACGTTAATTCGATGGCCAAACACGTGTTGTCGAAGAACGACCTGTAACCCGGGATAATCAGCTCCGGCTAGTATATTTATATGGAATTTTTGTCTGGATATTTTCACATTATCGGGCCGAGATACTAAACTTCCGCCTGCACAATATTCAATTTATTTACGCATTCTTCAATACAATATAGTGCTGCTGAGTGCAACCGGCCATTCACCTTTACCAACTTGACGTATTGGTAATGTCACGCAGACTTTTCCTTTCTTATTATTCTTGTCAGACTTGGTGCACATGAATGTATTATAATATTGCTTTTTTCGATTGTTTATTAATTGTTGGAATTTAGCGTGCATTGCGAGAGATGCGAGGAAGTTCACGGGGCACGGGTGAGGCCCCTTGGTTGATCATATTTTGTTAAATACTGTCGCGATTTGTTAATTTTTGAGGTGAATATCAATTGTAATCTATGAAAACAATTATATAATCATTTGTATGAATTTCATTCAATTAGTTGACGTCAATTAATTTATCTGAACGTTTGACTGCAATATATGTCTCGATAAAAGCAATTAATTAAGTAGAAAATAAAAAATGCTTTTTGATCCGGAATTAATTCAACTAGTAATTATTTAGATAATGATATTCTCGTCGTAAATATGTGTCACAAATTTAGCTCATTAGATTGGTAATCATTCTGGGTAAGAATTCATTCGATAATTCTGATGATTTCTGAGGAATTTCGATTGTTAATCGGTTGTCAATGAATATCTCGAAAGATAACGAAATTTTTGTAATGATAATACGAATATAAAAGCTGAAATATTCTCAAAGCCAT